GAAGTTAGAAACTCTTTCAATTGGGATTTAGGAAATCCAACAACTTAGAAATCAAAAGAGACCCAAAACAGCCTGCCACTTATATATTGACAATGTTGCTTGAAGTTCCGAACCCATTTGTGGGTTCTATCAATTTCTACAGCTACAACAAACTCAAATTAATTTGTGTAGATAGATTATTGTAGGGGTTGGAATCTCAAAACAAATTGGTAACTCCATGGGCCTGGCCAAAAGGAGCTGAAGATTCCATGCCAGTGAAAGAGTCCGAGATTCTTTATAGGCTGGAACATGAAAAATCCAACCTAAGGAGTTTGAAACTCTATTAAGGTGAAGGCTCAAAATATGGCCTTCGGGCAAAGAAGTTACATTTTTGCCATGGGATGCAACGAATGTGGGATTTGGGTATCCGTACAATTTAGTTGAAGACTCCATGATGAAAGAATCGAATACTCTTGTGAAGCTATGTGCCAGTTTCATATAAGAGTGCAACACTCTTATAATTTTTGTGTCGTTCCGAAGTCAAGGAGTTGAAAACTACTATTGAAATGAGTTGTATTTGAAAGAAGCATGTAGTTATTGTAATCCATTGGCCTTTCTTAGTGGTCTTTGAAAGACCAAAAGAACAACTTCAGATTAGTCTTTGAAAGACCCAAGAAGCAAATTCAAATTAGTCTTTGAAAGACAATAAATTGTTGCCATTTTTTTTTGTTTCTAACAGATGTTCTTCATGACGGGAAAGAGTGAAGTTAAAAACTCTCAAAAATTTTAAGGAGTCAGGGACTCCTTTTAATAGTAGAAGAAACATGCCATTAAATCAAAAGATTTTTAAGAGTTAGAAACTCTTTGATATGGTTTTAAAAAAATCAAGTCTTGATTAAAGAGTGAGTGAAAAGGGGAGTTGGAAACTCCATTTGAAGGAACTAATTTCGCAAAAGAGTGAAACACTCTTGTAATTTTGGTGGCACCTCGAACTCAAGAAGTTGAAAACTCCTGTAACTTGTGCCTTGGGATGGTCTCAACATCGTTGAAATAAACAGGATTTTAAAGGGTCTAAGGACTATTCAACAGTGAATAGATGTTTTGGTAACAGAACAGTAGCTGGCCTTCAGCGAAAAGCATCGGAAAAAAAGAGTCAAAGAATTTTGTTAATCCTTTCACTCTTCCTGATTTTTTTTTTGTTCTTGCTTCCATTGAGCCCTGTTTTTGATACAGGGAACTCAATTAGAGTCAAGAATTCTGTTTCTAGTCTTGAATTCGGTGGGTAGCTTTTATGGGTAACTCAAATTTCAGTTATATTCATTCTTATTTTCTTTTCATTAGGGTTATGTATTTTTTTTTTTTTGAAATTTCTAAGACATTTTAAATTTGTTCTTTGTTTATACTAGGTAAGTTGTTAGTTTATGTAGTGACTGGATAATTGATAAGAGCAGTCATACACTATATTTTATTAGCATGATGTGTTTGCACTTTGTCTATGAAAGCAACGGGTGTTGCCTGTAGATAAACGGAGATCTCTTAATGTTTTGTCAATGCTTTAGAATTTTTATGTTGTGTTGCTTCCAAGTTGTGTTTGTATTTTGTCACTATACAAACACAATTTTTTGGGGATTTTTTTTGTATTACACCATGTACATTCACGTGCATTAGTTGAATGTTACATGATACGATTATTTTGATAAAAATGGGTAGTTGAATGATATTGGTTTGATTGGATTTGATTTAACAAATTTGGTTTCATTTTCCATTTTGTATGGATTGGTATATGCTTTACTAATGTAGTTATTATGCTTTGAAATTGTAACCATTTCTCTCTCATATCCCATCAATTGATTTCTTTTATTGAACTACCTTGCAGTTGTAATAGGCGATGCTGGGCAATAACGGTTCAAAGTAGGAAACACTTCTAGATGGTAAGGCAAGGATAAGTTCTCATATGCAGTGCAAAATCCTTGGTCTTCTTTGAATATTGCTTTGTTGGCAAGCATATCAAGTTCAAGTATACATAGGATTATGATTAAAATGCTGTATCGGTATGAGCATTTACTACAATCATAGCTCTGGTAATGTGACTGTTGTGAATTTTGGTTAACAAGGAAAAATATACAATTTATATATTCATTGATTAATGTGTAGGCATATATACTAATACTGTTGATTTTTTAGTTTTGCATGTTTTTCATGTAATGATAATTGTCTTATATTAGAATAAATTGGATAGAGAATGACAGGAGGGCTCTTGCCACTGTTCATGTGTTTTTCAAATTATTGATTGTTGTGGTTACTCAATGCTTTTACGTGTATATGTGGGTGGGAGACTGTGTTATAGAGAGTTGTTGATCATATTTAGACTTTTTCAGGTCTTAATTGGATGTGGAAGCTATGGAATTTGGGCTGAAACTTTTGGGAAATTTAATTCTTATTTCCCCCCTTGCTTAGATATCAAAATTCTTATTGACATATAAATGTTGTGTTTGATGGAAAATATATTGCACTGTGTAGTTCATGTCGTTTTGAGCAAATCTTACTTAGCAATTCCCTATGAGTATGTGTATTATGGGTGAAATGTTGTGGTGGTTGTGGTTTTTGGATTTGCATTGTTAAATTCATGCATTGGAATGTAGTTTGATTTAAGGCCATAGTTTGATTTGAGTTTTCATTCGGTAATCAGGATGTAGTGTTGTTTGATGATGTTGAAATTTAAATTTCCTAGATTAAATCACGATGCATGTGTAGGGACATTTAAGAAATTGGAGTAGACTGACTATGTGATTTTAAGAAATTGAATGCTCAATATGTGTGCTTGGATGAATGTTAACTATTGTTGAGTCGTATCACTTGCAGTGCTTAATAACTGTAAAAAAATGTGTAATGTGGAAATCATCGATCCAAACGTTAAGTTTTCATTGATAGAAGGTGCGATATACCAAAAAAAAAAGTTTAACTCTTTCTTAAATATTATCCAATATTTTTGACATTGAAGCGGTCACATTTATGTGAAAGTCCTCATAAATAAGCATTGTTTATGTTTGACAAATCTGCTACCTATAAATATACAACATTGTTTCATGTATTATATATTTTGATTTCACAGGCTCATGGAAAGCTAAAAAGACTCAACAGTTCTCTTGGTAGATGGGTGAAATGACTTGGTTTAGTTCTATTGGTAAAGGTCACAATTTCATTAATGACCAATGTTTCAAAATATGGAATATTCAAACCAAATGATTCTTATTTATGTGAATTTAGTTAATTAAAACCAAATGATTCTTATTTATGTGGATTTAGTTTTTTGGTTGGACTTTGTTACATGTAGCTATGACTTTTGTAATTATGATATTAATGTTATTTTAGTTTGGATTATGTAGTGAATAAAATTTGATGTTGTCTTTGAGTTAGGTTGAATAATTTATTCTTGAGATTAGTTATGCAATGATTGTGTTGGGAGATTGAATAGTTTGTGTTGGGTAGTAATGTAATTGATGTCACTGTAGATAGATTGAGATTTTTTTGAATTCCTTTCAAAGAAAATTTTGTTGAAATTTTTTGAAAAAATAGTAGAGGTTATATTTATTTCGATTTTTTTAATTAAAGAAAATGAATGAAAAATTATTTTAAATTAAAGAATTTTTTAAGTTACAAAGTGCTTTTAGGTACAGGTTATTACTAGTAATTTATATAATAAAGTAGCTTACAATTTAAATTTCAAAAGATAAACAAAATGACTTTTGCTTTTTGCGGTTCAGATCGCTTGAAATTTTACTTTAAAGTTAATCTAACGGCTAATATTAACACCTTAAATTTAATATCAAAAATAGGCCCGTAAGGGTGTATTTGAAGTGATTTTTTAAAAGTAATTCTACAAATTATTTTTCATAAGTACTTTAAAAAAAAAATAGTGTTTGAAATCGTCCTACCATTATCTCCACCACCCCCACCACCCCCACCGTTACTAGAGCTGTCATCGTCGTCGCTGCCGCCACCACCACCATTGCCACCACTATCGTCGTCGTCGTCGCCGCCGCCACCACTACCACCCTTATTACCACTGCCACTGTCACCGCCACTATCGCCGTCGCTGCCACCCCCACCACCACCTTTGTTGTTGTCGCCGCCGCCACCACCGTCGTTGCCACCATGGTCATTGCCACCCATCGCAACCATCACTGTCTCTTACCACCATCACTGCCGCCCGCCACCTCTCACCTCCACTACAATCAATGCTTAAATTCATTTATCTCTCATCTATATTTATGATTTGATTTTAGATATGAATACAAATATATTTATTATTTACTATTTTTTATTACTCTATGCCTTCAGGTACAAACAATAACTACTATATTTATATATTAAAAAATACACATACTATTACACCAAAAAGTACACACACTATTACACCAAAAAATACAAACATATACATTAATACACTAAAATATACACATACTAGTACACCAAAAACACACACATTAATACACCACCCATGATCCACTACACATGACCCACAACCCATGGGTTGACCCACGACCCATGACCACAACCAACCCATAGCCCACAATTGACCCGACCCATTATGTGTGTATTTTTTTTTATTAAATGTGTTTTAGTTTTTGTGTGTATATTTTTGGTGTATTAGTGTGAATTTTAGTGTATTAGTGTGTATATTTTTAATGTATTAGTTTGTGTTTGTTTTGGTGTATTTGTGTGTGTGTGCATGTTTATATTTTGGTGTACTACTAATGTGTGTATATGTTTTGGTGTACTAATGCGTCTATTAAGAATTTTAATTAATTTTTGAGTTAATCGGTTTAATCCAACCCGTTATAAACCCAACCCATTTACCACGTGAGTGAAAAATAGATTTGTGGGGTATGATGATCATAACTTGTGGGGAATTTCTGGATAAAATGGATAGGAATCTAGTGAAGGTTGTTCTATGTGAGAGTCCCTGGTCTTTGTGGTGAATAACCCAGTTCAAAGACATTGGTTAGGTGGTCACTACACTATCCAGGGACCTCAGAGGTATCAGAAGATTCCCCTTTGGCACAAGGCCAAAGACCTTTGATTACTTCCTTTGCTTTACAGACCTTATCAACCCATTCACCTTCAGAAGAACAACTAGAGAGCTGATTCTTGCATCAACATGTTTAATAGGGGGAACATTGAAATCTGGAAGCAATTTAAAATCTTGCCTGGAGACGTTTTGCACAATTGAGAAAGAAAGGGGTGGGCAACATTAATCCATAAGAGAAATGAATATGCTCGCGTCATGTAGCTACTTATAAAAGGTTCTTTTGGAACAATAATCTGGATTATATATGAAAGGATGCATTCTTAAACTCTAAATAATGAAATTGAAATTTGAATAAATATTGAAATTCTTCTCGGTATTTTGATTAACCATGACTTGTTGAGTTGTTTGAACGTTCATCTTCAAGTGCAAAGAAATGACAACAAATTATGAATGCAGCTTTTTTTGAGGGCTAGGATGACTCATGCCATGCCTTTTTGACTAAAATGTAACTAATGGGGAAGGAGAAGCAACCAATGACGCAAAAGGAAATTGCAAGGCTTTTTGAATGCACTAAAATGTACATGCCTGTAATGAACGCAATTAACATTGCTTCCATGGCAATGATAGTGAGACAATAGGCAGCAGAATAGTGCTGGACAAGCTTTCCCCTTTTTATGTCGTCTGCCACAATGAAGTAAATAAACACTGCGGTCGTGGAGAATGTCATGGCTATAGTATCTGTTATAACAAATAATTTGAAAGCTGTTTTTCTTGTTAGCATTGCCATACCTTGATCTGAGCCCTCATTGCCATTATAGCCACCTGGCACAATGAAACAAGTTGCGAAGGTAACAGTAGCAATGAGTGCTGCCACTATTAAATGAATGTTAGTTGTTTTCCTAATGTCTACTGGTAAGACTTTTTCATGGGCATGATGCCTCTTCGTCATTATTATCTCATCATTGTCTCCGCTGATTACATCTCTCCGGCCTAGTGTAGCACCAACTCTGATCAGATCTCTTTTGATGAAACCCTACATTTTGCTTATTTGGTCAGCAATGGAAAAGCAGAAGTTCTTAATGATAAAGTGGTTATGGTTGTTTTTGCTTTGGCTCATGATATCTAAGTCTGACATACTCATCTAGAGGAACTGGTTGGATGCTGAGTTCCCTTAAGGCTAGTCAATCAATTTGGAAGGAAAGAGCTGGTTTGTTTTGTGCTCAAAATTAAAAATGTGATGGGAAAGTTTTAAAATGGCACAGTTAAAGTTTGCAAAATTCATGGCAACTTGAGAGGAGCCATGCTTTCTCTATGATATTTATGTAAAAACATATATGCTATATGGCATATGCAGGCTAAGTAGGCATTCTTACCATAGACTTGTATGACTACTCGACCAAGAAGCATTCCCAAAGCCATTAACAGAAATTAAGGAAAAGTTGGAAAAAATAAAATACTCCATTTGGAATCTAATATGTTTCTGGGATGTCAAAACCAAAGAATAGACTTACAAAACATGAAAACATAAATGGGTATAAAATGAAGACCAATAACTCAAGTGACGATTGCAAGGGCTGACGTTTGGGCTAACACCACATAAGCCCCTGTACTGAATGCAACCATCATTGCTTCAATGGCAGCAAGAACGACATATATGGCCAACCCGACAGTGTTCCTAAGCCTGTCCAAATTTTCTAACAGTGCCGCCAAAAAAATGAGAAATATAGAAAAAGAAGAGAGTACCAGGGCAATAGTATCTGTTATGATCAATACCTGGAAAGCTGTGTTTTTTTTGATAGAACTGTCATTCCTTGGTTTGTACTACCGCTTTGGATATAACCACCGGACATGATGAATCCAGCAAGTGAAGTGAAGTGAAGGATACGACCGTTGTGAGTGTAGCCACTACCATAGTGACGTCGGATATTTTCCTCCAACTTCTTATTTGTTCATCATACTTCTTTCTTCTTTTTTCATGATCCTCCTTTCTTCTTTTTCAGCATCCTCATTTTGGATAATCCCCTTGCCTTCACGTATGTTGATTGAATTCCGCAAGCCCCAAGTAGCACCCAGCAGCTTGCAGTACCTAGTTGACATTAAAAAAAAGATCTTATGCAAGTTTTGTTTTTGGGAAAATTACATTTGGAACCCCCTAAATTACAGACTCAATTTCACTTTGCCCTTTGAACTATTGTACTTTCACATTCCCCCCCCCCTCCCCCCAACTACTCGAATGATTTTAATTTACCTCAAACTCAAATGGCCGCTATCTTTTTTAACGAAAATTGCTACAATATCGGGGTAACTTGAAAAACATAATATATTTTAGGGGAAAAGTGAAATAAATTTTCATTAAAATTGTAACAGACATCAATAATTTTGGAGATATGAAACTAATCACATAAGTGAGGGTGCAATGTAAATATATATATTAGTTGAAGGAGCAATGTGAAAATGGTCATTTATTGAGGGGATGAAAGTGTAACTTTCCCTTTATTTTTTTACTCCTCAATTTGAAATAAATAGGTTGAGAATATTGTTTGCCCTACAAAATACTGACAGCCAATTTTTTCTCATAACTCGAGATATCAGATATAATTACATCTTATGACGTCCAATTATAATCGGATTAACCGCTAAACCTGTTTAATAATTAGTCCAAACATTTATGCATTTTTTCCTCGCCTATTAATTGTTAATTTTACTTTAATGACGCTTTGCTCCCCCACAAATTTAATCTAATGAAATTGGTCACTTTTTTTTTTTTAACATTTCATATTGGGCGAGTTGTACTTTATAGCTGAAAATATTAAAAAAAAATAAAAATGTTACAATGTAATTAATTTTCGTTACTCATTCTATAAAAAAAATCTCATTTTTGAGTTATAAAGTGAAAAAACTTAAGGCCATGTTTGGTTAACTTTCAGGAAACTGTTTTTTGTTCTCAAAATTTTAAAAATATCCAAAACTTGTTTGTTTAGCATTTTTGTTCTCAAAATTTTGAGAAAAAAAATGAGATTTGAGTCAAAGAAATAAAAAACAAGTCTAACTTATTTTCAGAATTTTTTTTAAAAATTTTAAAAATAAGGAGAACAATTTTGGACTTTAATGAAGTCTGTCATTCGAGTCTCTTTAACATCAAATTTCTTCATTTTTTTTAACTTCTTCCTCTCTCTCATAATATATAATATATATTATATAATATAATAATAATAGATATTATCGTATATGTATATAATATACATATATATTATATAATAAATCTATATAATAAAATAACTCATACTTTGAATTTTATTCCAGTCATATTTTTTTCTTCAAAACCATAACCAATCACTTACTTCACGTCAGACTCAAACGTTAAGTCGCATCACTCATTCACTCAAACGTCAAGTCACATCATTCATTTATATCACATGTTTAATCATTTATATATTTCTGTCTTAAAAATATCACATCACTCATTTCTGTCATAAGTTTAATATAATTTTTATTTCAAACATTATTCATATACAATAGTATACACATGAAAAAATTTAATATAGTAGAATTAATTTTTTGGGTACTCAAATTTTATACTTTATTGTGCCTTCAAGCACGAGTTATGAATAATATTATAATATAACATATATTATAATATAATATGTTATATAATATAATATATAATATATTATTATATTATATTATAGTATATATACTATAATATATTATTAATATAATATATATTATATTTTAAAATTTAGTTTATTTAATTTTTTTTATGAAATTATCCATTTAAAAATAATTTTTTTATATTTTTTTATTAATATTTAAATTACTATTCAAACATATATTTAGACTGTTTAAACAAATTTTACTATTTTTTATACTGTAAAATTATTTTTGAAATTATCTAATCAAATAAATTTTTTATTTTAAAAAATATTAAAATTATTTTTTTAAAACTCATCTGCAAAATTATTTTTAAATATTATTTTTTGAAACGGAAATTAACCGTGCCCTAATTTTTCGGTGTGCAATGTGAGATTTCGCCTTTTATGTTTGTTCTATCGTCTTCCAACCGAACGCTTAAACCCTATTGTGCAGAGTGACTGCCACAAGTTCGGCGTCTCCGATTATAACTAGGGTTTCGAGACTGTCTGTAACTCGAGGCGACCAACTTTACCCAAATCTCTCTCCAATGGCGAAGAAGCGAACCAGACACACGAATCCAGAACCGTTCCTTGAAGATGACTCCAAATCGGTCTCAAAGAAGCGAACCAAGCCTCTCAAACACCACCAGCAAGAACAGAAGGCAATTATCATTCTGCTTTCTCTTTTTAGTTTCTGTCTCTTATCTTTACTTTCGATTCCTTCTGCCTATATGTGTGTTTGCAGCTTATATCGTCCGGTATGAGTTCGAAAATTTTGAAAGAGGCCTTAATTCAGCAAAAGGAGGTCCAAGAGGAGGAGACGGAAGAGCAAAACCCTAACAGGTTGGTGTTTAATGAAGAACAAGTGATCGCAGCTGAATCTGATGAAGATGAATTTGATGATTTTGACGGGTTTTCAGAGACTCAGAGCCAGTTCGGGGGCTGGGAGGTGAGAAAGTGTTTTCCCATTGGTTTCTTTGTGTTCCTGAGCGGTGGAAAATATAAGAAAATACGAAATTGGATTTTCTTTCGGTAGTTTTGTTATAGTCCATTTTTTTTGTTTCTTATTATCTGTTTTTCTGGGTATAATCAGGCTGAGATTGATGAGGATGATGAGAAGATACTTGAGGCTTTCATGTCCAAGGATGCTCGTCCACAACGCACATTGGCGGACATCATTGTTGGGAAGATCAAAGAAAAAGATGCCCAAGTTTCTTCAGGTTTTTACTGTCCTTTTCCATTGTGTGGAGACAGAGAGTGCTGTTTTTGATCATTAATGTTGATATTACTCTTCAAGGGTTTAGCCAATGAAAAATGCTATTTGAACCTAAAAATATGACTGCATTTGCTGATCTGATATGACACTGTGGATCCTATTAAATATTGAAACATGCACATCATCTAATGATTCCAATAAAGTTATGTGTCAGATTTTTGGGTCCAAATAACATTATTCTTGGTCAATGAGTAATCTTATTCGAACCTAAAAATTTGACACGGGGTCCTGACTTTTTGTTGTCAGTTTCTTGTTATTTTTAACTGTGATTGAGCCTTAATTGTCTGAAATATTCTTTCTACTCAATTGCTGTCTTTGAGATAATTTTTCCAGGCTAGAAAAAAGTTAGATTGTCATCACTATTAATTTTTCCATGAAGACGACGACAAAGCTGCGAGCTTGATATTGTCATTAAACTGCTTGTTTGTGTTTGTTTACAGAAATGCAATCGGTTCCCAAGTTAGATGATTCTGTCATAGAGTTATACAAGGGGTACTTTTGCTGTCTCGTTCTCATGACAATAGATCTTGTAATTATCTAACTATTAAATTTGTTAAAACTGGGTGTCAATGTAATACAGTGTGGGCAGGCTTCTTAGCAAATACACTGCGGGGAAATTACCAAAAGCTTTCAAACACATACCTTCATTAAAATTTTGGGAGGAAGTTTTGTACCTGACTGAACCTGAGAAATGGTCACCAAATGCAATGTACCAAGCGACAAGAATCTTTTCTTCCAATTTGGGTGTGAAGAAGGCAGAGCGCTTTTACAAGCTTGTCTTACTCCCACGTGTCAGAGAAGATATCCGAAAGAATAAGAGACTACATTTTGCACTGTATCAAGCTTTGAAAAAGTCTCTGTACAAACCAGCAGCCTTCAATAAGGGAATATTGTTCCCATTATGTGAGGTATACATCCTTTTACATTATTCAGAAAGAAAAACTGCTATGGCTACCTTTTGATGAAGTCGGCAGTTGTATAAGCAGGCCCTAATAAAAATCAATATTAAATAGGAATGAATTGTTATTGATGTATACTTATAGTATCTAAGCCATACACTACTATAATCACGAGTTATGTTCACTGGATACTTGAGACTTCACAATCTAATCCTATTTGCAATTTGGAAATAGCACGTAAAATGATTATACTACATTCCAAAGCAATGCGTGACTTAGTCTTGTCATCATAATTTTTCTTTCAATCTCATGAAATCATTGTGTCTATGGACTCTTCCTTTGAACACACTGTATATTATCTAGAGCCTTCATGCATTATTGTAGATTTGTGAACTTGGCTTTTTGTATATCTTTACATTAAAAAGCATCATTCCAAGTATCTAAGTTTGTGTTAATCCATTCCAGTTGTCTCTTTGAATGTGTGTTATAGAGAAATAAAATGAAATATTAGGATCATGTAGCATGATTGGGGCCCAATTTTGAGCTTAGTTTTTTGCTCAACCAACGACAAAATTTTACCATCAGCAAATATCCTTCAAAATATCTGTAACCACCATGACAAGATTAGAGTTTAGCACGATGCCCAAATGGTTCTTGATTAATTATCAAAACTTTGTTTCGGTTTCACCGAAAGAACAGGAACATTATGGTTCTGATAGAAACTGATGCAAATCAGTTACGAAAGATTGAAACTATGGTTGCAAATTGTATTGAAATGTTGTGGAATGTTTTAGCCGATATTTCTGAATCAAAATACTATATTTTTTTCTCTTTTTGCATCCAGTCTCTGAAAACTTTTTGAACGTTTCAGAAACATTTCCGTAAACTTGCACAGAACAAAATTTTGATCCTTGTTCCTTATGTCTATCTGATACACTGTTCCTGCTCTAGACTTTTTGCATCAAATTATTTTGATCTAATTTTTTGCTTAAACATGACATCCTCCCTTAGATTTTTAATTAACACATTTGTTTCTTGCTGTTGTGGTGATATCCAACTACAATCTATGGTTTTTGGTAACGATGGATATATAAATAGAACAGTTGTTTTAAATGTAAGAGTCATTTTTACTTTTAATGTTCTCATAAGTGCTTGAGACAGAGGTTCTAGCCCTCTGCTTGATTAAGTATCAGAACCAATCACTATGTTCTATGTTGTGTTCTTTTTTATGGATATTCTTCGAATGTTACATGAGTTGTCTCAATTTTGTTGAGTTTCTTAAGTCATGATTTGATTCAGTGCATGGTACTAATAAGTCCTTTCTAATATTGACTGGACTCCATTTCTTATTGGATGATGCACAGTCTGGGACTTGCAACCTGAGGGAAGCCGTAATTATTGGGAGCATTATTCAAAAGGTTACCATTCCTTTTCTTCATTCAAGGTATGGACTATGATTTAACTTGGCATAGTTAATGCAGGACTAAGTATATATGATCTTATGTGGTTATAAGCATTGAACTTTACAAATGTTAGTATAATTTTTGTATTTATGTGAGAAGTATGTATGCTTATTTGTACTTGCAAACATTTAAATTTACAAGTGCTGTATTACCTGTTTCCCATGGTTTAAAAGATCCAGAAAATTTCAGGGCGCAATAGGAAATATATGTTGTGCTTGCATAACTCAAAGTTTTCTATGCTAAATTATTAGTGCTTCTGTAAATGCCTAACCAATATTCTCAATGGACATACAGTGTAGCATTACTGAAGCTAGCAGAGATGGAGTACTGTGGCACAACAAGGTATTACTGTTTGTAATGTATCTTAAGGTGTATGGCCAGTCTTTCTTATTTTTATTCCGCTAGATTAAAGTCATTTTGTGTAGTGTTTCATCTGATCATATGAATATATGTGGTTTGGATTTTAAAACGGGCTTCTACTAGTTTTCATAGTTTAGTTCTTTTTTGATAAGAATTCTTTCCCACAGCTCATGGAGAAGATATGTTAAGTAAAACCTTTCATGCATGTGGCAGTGACTATATACTATTTTTTGTTGCATTAAATAATGAGAAATCACTTAAAGGGGGTGGCTTAGTCATTTTTAATGCAGGGATAAAAATTTCTCCCTATTGATCCATGGCCACTTTGTACCTTCTCTTTGAGTTTTACTCTTGGTAACTGTTGGAATCATCTTGTGTACTTGGGAAGTTTTTCTAACATATTTCTTTTAGTACTGAAAGGTGTTAAACTGTTTACGATTTTGAAATCTGATGCAGTTATTTTATAAAGCTGTTAATTGAGAAGAAATATGCCTTGCCATATCGCGTTCTGGATGCCATGGTCGATCATTTTATGAGATTTCTTGAGGATTCAAGGGTAATGCCTGTAATCTGGCATCAGTCACTTCTTGCATTTGTGCAAAGGTTGGTTTTATTTCTATTTCTTCTTCTTCTTCGTCGTCGTCTTCTTCTTTTGTGGGGTGGTAATTACATTACATCAGTATGGTTTGAGGAGCTTTAGTAATGTGTCTTGAAAAGTTTTTCCAGAAAAATCCATCTGTTATATGCTACTATGATGTGCATATTTGTCTTGTTATGACATTATGCTCTCTTGGTCCTACACTTTTTTCATGATGTTGCATATGTTTGGGGCAATCGCAATTTCAAATACCAATCTTCCCTGTCCATGATGGGTAACAAAATGGTTGTTACAGTTTTTTGATCAGTTTGTTAGCACAATATTAAACTGTAGTTTTCAGCATGTGCAGTTGTATTGTTTTACGTCCACTGAAGGTTACATTCCCATCGCATTCATTTTACAAACATTTGATCAGAAAGATATAGTTTTCAAAACAAATAGGTGCATGCAGTATGTGTATTATAACGCTTGTAATCCTTTATTGGATTGTTATTTCTGTTTGCTTAAGGATTGGACCACTGGCCCTTCCATAAACAAATTAAAATGCTGTATGAATTGACAGGTACAAAAATGAACTAAGGAGGGAGGACAAGGTCAACCTCAAAACTCTTGTTAAAACTCAAAGGCATAAATTAGTATGTGCATCAACCCCTCTGCAGCTACTCTGTTAATTTTTTCTTAACATAATTTTGTGGCAATACTCAGCATGTTTGTCCTTGTTCAACTGCAGGTTACGCCAGAAATATTGAGGGAGCTGAGCAGTAGTCGCAACCGTGGCGAGAAGGAGGATGATCTTATGTCAATATATATCCTTCTCTGTGATTAAAGTCTGAAGTTCTGATTGCATTCTTATTTTGAATGATGCTTGGAGGTTTAATTTGTGTGCTATATGGTACTTCCAATCTCATGGGTTGGCTTTTAATATACTTTAAGTACCAAAAACAAAAAATTAAAAATTTTAATAAGTGAATATTTCGTTGTCGTAAACATGGGTTCTTGACATATATTTTCATTAAGATTTTAATATTTTAGCATGAGATGGTAGGATGTAACAGGTATTTTGTGTTCCCGAAAATATTAGATTTCATGTTCCAGTTTTGGATTTCAAGTGTCTTAAGGTTTTCTATATAGCTAAGCTAACTATGTCAAGTAATGGAAAGAGCCTGGCTGATAATGTTCTTTTTCTGGTCTGGGGGTACAAGGATAGGAGGGGAATTATTACCCCTTTGATAGCCATTACATTTGGACAAAAGAAAGAAACAAGAAGAGTGTTGCATAGTGGCCAGCCATAGAGAGAAGTTATACTAATGGATCTACTTTCTGCACTTTCCACCGATGAGTCCTTTTTATACCCGTCAAAGTGTATATGAATACAATAACAAGAGTCAAAAACAGTTAACGTGATCATGTAAAGTGTGTATGTGCATCTTATATCAATTAATTGGTCATTTCTGTTTGTTGTGTTTTGGATCATGGTTTTGCATCTCTCCTTTTTTAAATTTTCCAGTATTATAATGGCTGCAAGACATTTATTGCTGACAGATTATTGAAAGAACAAAATACAGTAAACAAGTTTATTTTAGAATTTTTGCTGTTAGAAATTACCCGTGCAAGTTTGTTTTTTCCAATATTCTTGTTGAGACTTTGAAATGCATATTTCTTTTGAGTGAGTTGTTTGTCCATATATTTATTTCGATCTTCCCTTCCTCGTCAAGGCACATGTTTCAAATAATCATTCCTTAACTCCCTATTACCATCTGTTTCTGTGATGAATAAAGCAATTGTGGAAGACAGGTTTGATGTTCCAGAGGTACCTATGGAAGAAGACTGAGTATTCATTTACATAAACTATATAGAGGATCATAAGGTATAACTACCCGCCCCTGTTGATCCTCGCATTTTGGAAGGCTTTTGAATCCTTTAAGCTATAGGTGCTGGAGTCAACCTCCGCTTTTGACAATGACAATTGGTTCTTTGATCCATTTGGTCCCTACAACTAATCCCGAGTTAGTTTCTAATGCAGGTCTCTTACCCTTTTATTGGAAGGAACTCTCATGCATATCAAGAGTAGTGTAAATTTGGGTGCTGTGTTGATGGGGAATTTCTGAGCAAGTGGATCTGGTCTAAAGTTGTTGAAATGCATCGAGTACTTCTGTATGAAGATAGGAAAGTTTTGCCAAGTCTGTTGTATTATCGGCACATTGTTCCTGTTAGAAATATCATGTGTCTTGTTTTATGAAACCAAAATTTTACCTCTTTTCGACCTAGATGAAATGGAAAGATTCCTTGGAGTGCCATTTTGTTTATTCATACTCTCTTGTTCTCTTAGAATAACTGTTAGATGTGCCATTGGATTGTCCCTGGTTTTCTGTACCATCTTGTATATTATTAATATTATCATCAAATAACCTCTTTAATATTTTTGGGTGCTGTTTTATGAAGCCAAAGGGCTGTTTGGTAAGTGGGATTTTAAGAGGGGGTGGGGGGGCTTTGGAAGATTGGGTTGAGAAAAATAGTATAAATGACACACAAAATTCATGTTTGGTTAAAAATTTAAAACTTGGGTTATCAAGTTCAGTTCGCCGTTGGTCTGGACCTTAAACCCCATATCATAGGTTTCATCAAACTCGGGGGAGAGGTGGGTTTCGGATGATGTTTAAAGGGTTTATGATATAAAAAGACAATTATATCTTATATATATATACAAGCATGAGTGTAGATTAGATTGATGAATGAACAAAATAATTATTTATATACAAATATATTATTATAATAGTGATATATCTATAGACATACCAAACATGAGTATGAATGAGATTCAATATTGAATTTCATTTTTATAAAGAGGGGTTTAAGTTTGAAAGAGTTTAGAAAAGTTAATGCAAATCTTTTCCAAAAATTTATCCAAACAAACCCTAATATCATAGTTTTATTTTAAGTGGAAGAAGCCCTCCTTTGTCAAAGCATAGACTATTCTCAAGTTCTCATGCTAGGTTAGAGGTGGCAACACATGTATGCAATGCTAATCTCAAGTATCATGGGTTAATATTGTAGTCATGTTGGATGGTTCATCAACTAACAAAAAAATTGAAAAAAATAAATTCAAAGAGGGTGGAATTAGGCTTGTCAATGAATCTAGTTTTGATTTAAATGAGATAAGATTTGAATCTATTTAGTTGAATGTATTTGTAATATTTTATCGATAATTTGAATTTGAATATATTATATCATATTTTATAGATTTGAATTGAATTGAATGTGGTCGAATTTAAATTATTATATTTTATAGGATTAGGTGATAGAATTATGCTGTTATTCAATAAAATTTAGTTGAAATTTAAATGTAATTTCTGAAAATCCAGCTATTTGAATCAAAACAGATTTTTAACGTTTAACAAATTTAAACATTAAATCTGTCAAATAATGCGATAAAATTCAGATTGAAAATTTAAATCGGAGTTATATTCAAAAAACAAATCCGACCCGACCTGATTTAGGACATATATTGTGCCCGGATCGGATACGTATCCGTTTTCTATGTGGTCGGTGTCTGTGCTGTTAACTGCCCAACGAAGTTGTTGCATTGTTAGTGAACCGTGCTTTGTAGTCCTGCGAGATCAACAGCAAAGCACTTTGGTTTCATCGCCACCTTCTCTCTCTTCGATCTAAATCTCCATTACTATCTCCGCCCACTTCTTCTCACAGTCCCTATAAATTTTCTCAACTACACCCTCTCTTTTCTCATCTACATTCCGAATTCGAATAATACATATACAATCTGTGACACATACATATAAACACACACATATATATAGAGAGAGAGAGAGGAAAAAGAGAAGAGAAAATGGAGGCCATGTTGCAGGGGATTGGAGCAGCATCTGCATCGGTATCTCCTTGTCCTGTAGATCGCTACTACAGATTCGGTGTCGCCTCTCTCCAGTCACTCCCAGGTTTTTATTTTGTTCGATTTCTATAATTTCTTGGATTTTTTTTACTTCCCGTTCGATTCAGAGAAAATTAAGAGAAAACGTAATGCAAGAAATGAACGATTCTATCTAATAAAAAGACCCGATGAGGCCAATCAATTTATGTTTGACTTTGTTCGTTCGGAGAGATATCTTGAGATTCAGTACAATTTATTGTCTCTTTCTTTTCCTACATTTGGTTAATAAACAAAAACAAGCTCATACCATTCAGTGTGATTGATTTTTTGTCTTTCATTCAATCATCGTCAGTGATTCGACCTGAGGGAAGGACAATTGCGGGTTCAATTCTCCGGAGCTGCAGGGCTAGACAATTCATTACTAAAGCAGTGGCAGTTAATATATTTTCACCCTTTATTGTTTTTTTTCTTTATATTTGGTTGCTTTGTGTTAAAGCATTGGTGTTGTGCTGTGTTGTTTGTGGGTTTCCAGGCAAAGGCTGATAGCAATGCAACTTCTGCGGCTTCAAAACCTGGGTAAGGTCTCATTGTTTTTTTTATAACCACTGTAATGCTTGATAGTATGTTTAATTCTTGTGGTGTGCAACGTGTATCCACTTCACACACTTTGTCATCCCTTAATTGTGGGTGCTGGGTCTATAACTTAGAAACCAAAGCCAATGGATCACACTAGATATTCTTGATGCTAATGTATGGGGTGAGTCTATCTGCGCACATACACGGATGTATAGATTAAATATTGTCAAATAGGGGATATAATTTTGATAGAACTGAAGAACTCATCTAGCTGACATCAGTAGATGCAAATAAAGTCTCCTTCAATGTCCTTGTTTATCTGCTTTTTGAATTCAGTTTCTTTTACTTTCTATAAATTGTTTTTCTGTTGGTTTATAATATACACCATAATTCAAGCTACTACGTGATTTCTGGAAGTATATTTGTCTGCAATTTTGACTAAATAATATTCAACATGATGATTTTAGGTTTGGTTATGCTTTGGTTGTGATTTCTGTCAGATATAGGTGACTGATTTTTTTAGCTAGGCTAACCTGTTAAAATGATTTGGCAGTTTGCAATATAGACAGTTTCCTATATCATATGGATCAATTCATAGAAACTTAGTTTATTTGTATCTTGCATGAGAATTAGCAGATTTGTCTATCTCATGGTTTTGGTTATGTATGTGAAAGATTTTTTATGGTAAAATGAACTGCAAGACTTGAATCAAATTTGAGGTATTGAAACGTCTGCTTTATTTATTGCATGAGTGTGTCCATGAGCATTCCGTGAGTGTCTGTGGAAGTCTGCCTCTGTAGAATTTAGTTTTAATCAAAGGCCAGCCTAGAAAACGGGCTTGCAAGTTGCAAGTGATGTTAAGAGGCGAATGACTATGATGGTTGCCTCATCGAAGAAGCTGGGCATTGGGGAGGAGACAAGGTGGTTTCAAATCTGTCCTATCCCTTGAAGCCATAGAGCTCTAGGTCTACTTCTACTTCTACTTAGATACATACATCTTTTCTTGCCATCTTTTTAGAGTCGAGCTAGCTTCTCTATAGTGGGGAGTGAGATAGAAATTAATTTTTAGATCGAGTTATTAAATTGCTAAAAAATAGGTAGATTTTGCCCTTTAAAGCATACTTATGTCTTGCTACATGGACCAACCATTGAGATGGATCATGGATGGTATGTCTATAACTTGGGGATGCTAGTGCTACCAGAGATAATGGAGAAGGGTATCAGTGGAAGCATTGAGGTACGGCATACTGCTGTTTGTATATGCATACCATCAAAGGTCTCCAAGGAAGAAAAACTTCATGAAAAACTAAAATTATCATATTTTTTTTCTACGGGACAAAGCAACAAGTATACTTTTTGAACTTATGTTGGAGACTGGGTTACATTCTTTGCAAAGTATAGTTATTATTAATGGCTTGATTATTGTTCAGTTAGTTTTTTCATTTTGGAATATTTTGATAAGAATTCATGTTTGGGCTATAAAAATAGGCCACCATTGTGGCTTCTGCATTGCGGGCTTATTAAAATTGGAAACAGTTCTTGTTGGCCTGGGAGGAATAGTTTCTCAGTCACTTGTTGCATTCTATTAGGTTATCTCCTCTTGAAGAGGAAAGTCGGTTTCCTTTATTTTTTCTACCCGAAACCACATTTCATGCAATCTTGTTGATCCAAGTGCGAGGAAAAAAGCCTCTGAGCATGTTATGCCCCTGCCACATGTGCTTTTCACTACTTGAAGATGAATTTGTTTACCTTCCTTAGCTTTCATTCCTGTAGCCTCGTGGATAGTTTTTATAGTTTGTGGAAGTTTGCCTACTTTTTTATTCCTCAGTTGCTTTTTTTTGAAGCGGGAAAGGAACCTCTCAGCTTACTTGAAAAGTTGAATTGTAATTCCTTCAATTTTGGGGTATCCACAGAAATCCTTTTGGAATTTAGAGAGTATCTAATTAGTTTATCATGTATAATGGGTAGGAGGATTTTTTTAAAGAAAATGCATGAGTAGCACTTTTCAGTCATTCTTAATTAGAAGCTTCATTGACTGCAATAAGTTTTTGTGGATGCTGAATATTGCCTGTTTTGGTTCAATCGTCTGGTGCAATTTTTTTTTCATTATTCTTATAGTCTTTATTTAATGTCATTGGTTTCAGTTAAATTTTGCTGTTTTTCCACAATTTGCTTTGGAGTTGTACTTTTCTTGTTTTGTCTCCACCCTTTTTCAAACAGTTACATAGTACATCTTCAATTAGCAATTTTGGTTGGAGGTTGAAACTTACCTTCTGGTCATTTCTGGTTCCTCTTGTGTATGCAATGATATGCATTATCACATTAACATATGTGGTCAAATCTGCATGTATTCTCATTGTTAGTGGTTCATGACTACTTTTTAAATCAAGTAACTAAATCTTTATTTGTCCTATCTAGGGTGTCTTGACTATTTCTTTCAATTAAATGGTGTACCGGCCTTTGTTAGATCTTGTAATTCATTTCCCTGGAGATATCGCGCTCCTAGTCTAGAAAAAGTTGATTATATTTTTCTAAGAATGGTTCATGTATCCTCAGGCATGAGGTCTTGCTGTTTGAAGCCCTGCAAGAAGGGCTTGATGAAGAAATGGCCAGAGATCCTCGGGTTTGTGTCATAGGGGAAGATGTGGGTCACTATGGGGGTTCGTACAAGGTTACGAAGGATCTGGCTAAGAAATATGGAGATCTCAGGGTGCTGGACACCCCCATTGCTGAGAATTCCTTTACAGGCATGGCTGTGGGGGCAGCTATGACAGGCCTAAGGCCAGTTATTGAGGGCATGAACATGGGATTTCTTCTATTGGCTTTTAACCAAATTTCTGACAACTGTGGTATGCTACACTACACCTCAGGTGGCCAGTTCACCATCCCTACTGTCATCCGTGGACCTGGAGGCGTTGGGAGACAACTTGGGGCGGAGCACTCACAACGCCTTGAGTCCTATTTCCAATCAATTCCTGGAATCCAGATGGTTGCCTGCTCAACTCCTTACAATGCCAAGGGCCTAATGAAGGCTGCCATCCGTAGTGAGAATCCTGTGGTTCTCTTTGAGCATGTGCTTCTTTACAACCTCAAGGAGAGGATTCCTGATGAGGAATATGTAGTGTCTCTTGAAGAGGCAGAGATGGTGAGGCCCGGGGAACATGTTACAATCCTCACATACTCCCGGATGCGGTACCATGTGATGCAAGCTGCCAAGACACTGGTGAACAAGGGATATGATCCTGAGGTCATTGATATTCGGTCTTTGAAACCATTTGATCTTTACACTATTGGGAATTCAGTGAAGAAAACCCACCGTGTGCTTATCGTGGAGGAGTGCATGAGAACGGGTGGCATTGGTGCCAGCCTGACTGCAGCAATAAATGAGAATTTCAATGATTATTTGGATGCCCCCATTGTTTGCCTATCCTCTCAGGATGTGCCAACACCTTATGCTGGGACATTGGAAGAATGGACTGTGGTTCAACCTGTCCAGATAGTGGCTGCCGTTGAGAAGCTATCCCAGTAACAACAGCAGCACTACTGGTGAGGTTTAGTTGTCATAAAGGTCTAGTGGATCTCTTCAAACAGAAATATTAGGTGTCTGCAGCATCTTCCGGCCTTGGTTCAACTCTACTCACCTTGGTTTTTTTTCTTTTCTCACTTGTTTTTGTTAACTGCTGAAGCTTTTTATTTGCTTATTTAATTAAAAAATGGCCTTGCCATAAGATTTGTTTGTCAACAGACCATGTGTTGTACCATGAATGGGCTTTTATTATTAATTCTTAAAGCATGCGATTCACATAAAGGATTGCTCTATTTTTTTTGGGGCATTCTGTTGAAAATGGGTTATGAGATATGATTATGTAACTTCATGCTTGTTTTGCCAGACCATTCTGATCCTCTGAACAGGGCGTTATTCTTTGATGGTAACTTCCATCATGTGAAAGCAAATTTTGTTCTGACATAATGTATGCCTATGCTTTGACTTTGTGTAACCCTCGTGGTTCACCAAAAAAAACGAGTCTTAAATTAACAATGGTAGACGATGTACAAATCGGTATTGCGTAAAATCAACAGTCGAATATATCAAGAGACACAATTAATGAGTAGTAAATAGTCAATCAATGACAAAACAGTAAATAAAGGAATCAACACCAAGATTTATAGTGGTTCGGTTCGGATGACCTATTCTACTCTCGAGAATGGCAACAGTGGCTGGAGTCTTTTATTGATGAATAATGTGGTCGAGAGAGCAACTCCGGAAGTATTACAGTGCTTAGAGAGAGAGCAATGCGTGTAGGGAGATATGTAGAGATTTCAACGCGATGCCCTCTATGTGTAGAGGGCTTACATTATATAGGTTCACTAAGGCGGTTAGGCGGGGACGTGAGGAAGGGGGTTTCTATCATTTTTGGTAAGTAGAATTATGGTAAGATTGAATTTCTGTATCCCGATATTCTCTTGCTCGTGTCCCTCTTCAGTCGGAGGATGATCTTGAGTTGGATGGGATGGACTTGAGTCGAGGTAATTCCAATGATGCTGAGGAAGACTGAGGAGGAGAGAACAGAGGACAAAGAGGAGGCAGGGAGCCAGCCCATGGGCGGCGCCCCTTGGAGACCCTATGGGCGGCGCCCCCTTGATCCAGATGCTGGCCTTTTGGTTCCTTCTTGATGGTTTGGGGTTTCTCTCCTGATGGGTCGACCCAGGTTCAGTTCGGCTTTTCTTTGGGTTTTTTTGGTTTATTTAAATTAGGTTTGACCCAGTTAAATTTGGGCTCATCATTTCCCCCCATGCCCCAAGCCTCTAACTTTTTTGCCAGAGGAAGGGGTTGTGGGTATGTGCTTCGTCTTCATGTAGGTGAGTCAGAATTTTTCTTGCTTCCCACGATATCTTTTCATTCTCAGGGACTCACTGAATTGTTCGATCTCGAAAATAATTTTTTTTTTTTTTGCACTGCTTCTTTGTCTATAAATAGAGGTCACTGTTATCATCTTCCTCGTTCTTTTCTCATTTCTAGAGGCTTTTCTCAAAAGGTGTACCTCCAAGTTTCTTCAAGAAGCTACTTCATTGAACTTCTCCAAGAAGCTAACTCATCAAGCTTCCTCAAGAGGCTTTGTCAAGGCTTCCTCAAGAAGCCATTTCTTCCATACTTAAAGGCCTTTCAGGAGTTCACTATTCGATACTATTTCTTATTATTCAACACCATTTCTCACTGTTCAACACCATTTCTCACTTTAACACCATTTTTTCACTATTCAACACCATTTTTCACTATTCAACAACATTTCTCACTATTCAACAACATTTCTCACTATTCAACACCATTCCTTAATTCCTCACTACTCACCACCATTTCTCCCTTAGTCTTTTCCTCTGATTTTTTTTTAGTTTCTTCCTTGGGCACTGGCCCTTCCTTCTCTTTTACTTTTACTTTTCTTTTTTCTTTCTTCTTGGGCGTCGCCTCCTTTTCTTTTTTTTTTTCTTGCTTTGGGCGACGGTGGAGGTTGCTGTAGGCGCCACTTGGAGGCTGGGTAGACGCCTTGGGCGACGCCAGTAGGCCTTGGGCGCTACTGTGTTTGGGGGACGCCTTGAGTCTTGCTATGAGCGGTGCTTCTCTGGTGCTTTGGTCACTAACTAACCTTGTTTCTAATTATAGGGGTCATGTTGATAGAGCGATGGTGGCGATTCTCTGCGTTTTTAGGGTGGTGTATTTCTCTCCTCTCAAGAGGACGAGGTTTGATGCCCCTAAGTGCTTCTCAATCAAGGTCTGATGACTATGTTGCCTCTTGGGAGATGGGACCTTGTGGTGCCTCCACTCTTTCTCAGACTAGGACTTCTGTGTATATCAGAGCTAGCCCTTGCACTATTTTAGGAGTTGAGACTCCAATAAAGTCTTGCTACGGGGACTGTAGCTCCACATAGTTGCCCTACTTTTAGTAGTGGCTCGATGTCAATCTAATATAGTCCCATAGGTTGCAGACGGCCTGAGCTTCAAAAGTATACCTGGCAAAAATAATGTTATCCCAACATTAAAATATCTAACATGAGAGCAAAGTTAGAGTTGTGGACGTCCCGTAGAGGGTCGCATGAGCTAAGGCCAAGCTTCCTATAGTTTTGGGAAATGGATGTCGTGGTAAAGGCTTGTAAGGTGACTACTTGCGCGAGAGTAGAGTTTGAGGCCAAGCTACGTATAACTCAGGAGATGATTGTCGTAGCAGAGGCTTACAAGGTGACTACTTATACGAGAGCAGAGTCAGAGGTTGAGCTACGTATAACTTGGGAGATAGCTGTCGTAGCAGAGACTTACAAGGTGACTACTTGCGCGAGAGCAGAGTCATAGGTCGAACTACGTATAACTCAGGAAATAACTGTCATAGCAGAGGCTTATAAGGTGATTACTTGCACGAGAGTAGAGTCATAGGCTGAGCTACGTATAACTCGGGAGATGGTTGCCATATCAGAGGCTTATCAGGTGACTACTTGCGCGAGAGCAAAGTCATAGGCTGAGCTACGTATAACTTGGAAGATGGCTGCCGTGGCAGAGGCTCATTCCATTGAGATGAAGATGAGGAGGCCGTTGAGGTGCTGGCCATCTGAGGTGCTGGACACTACCTTCTGGGATGCCACTAGGCACGGACGCTAAGGGACGCTAAGCGCCTGGTGAGAAGGGGCGAGACCCATCGTTTGAGTGGCATCATGGGAGATTCCCAAGGGGAGAGGGCGAGACCCCTCATTTAGGCAGCAACATGGGGGGCGCCCAAGGTGGAGAGGGCAAGACCCCTTATCTGGGCACCTGTTGCTAGGCACTTGGCAATCGACATTTTTCATCTTTTTGTTTACCTTGTTGTTAGGTTATGCTCTAATTTTCATAAGCTGTTTATAAATTTTAGGAAAGTAAAACAATTCGGACACAATAATCTTGACAGAGTTTTATTTCATAAAATGATAAATAACAAAAGAAATTAACTGAAATAATAAATGATAGATAAAATCTTCAGGTGTTCGGTGTCCCTAGGTGGGTTGAGGCTTTCTTGGCAGAGTTTGAGTCAACTACTCCTTTTGGCCCTCAGGAGATCGTTTAGATTTCTCTGAGGGGTTGCTGGCATTCTCTGTCGGCCTGGTCCTGGCCAAGTGGCGGGGCTTGTCCTCTGTCAGCAATGTACTGCCTCAACTGGCCACGTTGTATAAGCTCCTCGATCTGCCTTTTAAGATCAAAGTAGTTGTCAGAATCATGGCTGTGATTACGGTGGAAGTGGCAGTACTTGTTGGACTACTCTAGTTCGGGGCGGTCTTCAATTTCTCTGGCCAGCGTACTGTAGGGTCATCTTGTATTTGGAATAGGATATGTTCTACGAAAGCATTGAGCGACGTGAAGGCTTGTTGCTCTCTCAGATGCGGGGGACCAAGGCAGTCCTTGACAGAGATTCTCTCTGTCCTATTCATTTTGTTTGCTTCCCACTTGTCCTCACGAGTGTACTTCTTCTTCTTCCCTCCTCCGGAGGACTCACCTCAACGGGCCTTGGTAACGTCCTCAGCATTCATGTACTTCTGTGCCCTGGACAGCAACTTGGGCATGTTGGAGAATGACTTCTTGAGGACATAAAACATGAAACTAGAGGAGCAAAGACCAGCGATAAAAGCGGCAAGGGCTATCTTATCATCTCGCTCCTCAATCTGGAGAATATCCTCATTGAAATGGGTAAGGTAGTCTCTGAAACTTTCATCTTTGTCCTACTTGATGGTGAGCAAGTGAGTCTCTGATTTCTGATGTCGATGTCCACTAATGAAATGGGAGATGAAGGACCTACTCAGTTCTGTGAATGAGTGAATAGAGGAGGGCTTGATCTTCGTGAACCATTGGCGAGCAAACCCCTTCAAGGTGGTAGGGAAGGCTCTACACAATCTCCTTGGGCACGCTGTGGAGTTGCATGAGGGACTTGTATGTGTCTAGATGGTCGAGGGGGTCTTTGGTACCGTCGAAGATTTTGATGGTTGACATCTTGAATTTCGAGGGTAAGGGGTAATTGACTATATTAACAACAAAGGGTGTATCAGTGCATCTTACCAGATAATCTACGATCTCGGGAGCTTGTGTGAGGGATCTACCTCCCCATTACCGGGGATATACCTCCCTCCAAGAGCAATCCTCCCCATTACCGGGGATATCCCACTCTCCAAGAAAGGATTTCGGCTGACCTGCGGGGCAAACCCCCACAGTAGCCTTTACCTCTGTCCCACATCGGGGAAAGAGTCGTCTCCCCACCCCCATATAAGCCGAAGCACCATATGTGGTACTTGGGTATTGCTCTCATATGGTGCTTCGACTTATATGGGGGTGGGGAGACGACTCTTTCCCCGATGTGGGACAGAGGTAAAGGCTACTGTGGGGGTTTGCCCCGCAGGTCAGCCGAAATCCTTTCTTGGAGAGCGGGATATCCCCGGTAATGGGGAGGATTGCTCTTGGAGGGAGGTATATCCTCGGTAATGGGGAGGTAGATCCCTCACAACTTGTGCCTTGATGGTGTTGAGGGCATCTTCGAGTTGGTTTTGCACCTTTCTAGTCTTCTCATCCCATTGATTGGGGATATCTGTAGTCAGGTGGTGGTACTAGCTTTCATAGTCTCCATATTGGCTTTTTCCTTCGTCCTCCTATGTAGGTACATGAGGAGGGAGAACACGTGAGCTCCCTGCGTGCTAAAGAGGGACTGTTGGGCGAGGGGTGCCTTTGCATAGTCTTGGGGCGTTCTAGAGAGGGACCCCATGGTGAGGGATTGCTTGA